GTAACCCGTAGGTGGGTGGTGGGTAGATGGGCACCGCATTTGGAAGAACAACTTGCAGCAGCAGCAGCAAGAGGAAAAAAGGGACAACACTTACGGTGACGTCCTTCATTCGGCAAAGCACCAAGTCCTTTTTGTTTACACAAAAGACCTGCTCCAGCAGAGAGGACTCATCGTGCGGTATGAGATCCTTCCAGTTTTCCTGTGAAAAAAATGAGTGGAGGATGGGAACTTAGATAAGTTATCTTAGAATTAAATAAGCATACTACAAGTCCCTACTCAGTGCTGTCACAAGAAGAACAGTTCATACTACAAGTCCGCTCACAGACAGTCGGAACGGGGTTATGATCCGTATTACCGGTTTTTCCCTCCAAAACCGGATTTTGAAATCAAAACCGGATTTGTTTAAATCAAAACCGTTTCTGTAGACATCAAAACCCAATAGTTATACCTATGTTATAACTATTATCCTCGCTGTCAATGCATTTAACGTCATTAGCTGCGAAGCAGTGCTTGGTAGCGTAGATAAAAATGTATCCCAAATTTTTTGGCAGCCCTTCCAGGTTTTCTTGACGACGAGGAGGAATACATAATTGTTATGGACAACGTTCGTCTCCACCATTCCATTCAAGAATTCTACGACACGTTTCCATACGAGACACACTTCTTACCAAGGTGTTCTCTTTTCCTGAACCTCTGCGAGGTCTTCTCGCTAATGAAATCTAATGTGAGAAGAAATGCTCCAATACAAGGAAGAGAAGATCTACCAGAAAGGATGAAGAATGCTTCTCAACTTGTCAATAAAAAAAACTTGAAAAGTTATTTTCAACATTCGGAGACATTCTTTGGACAATGTTTCGCACTATCTGACGTCGATCGAGAGTAATTTGATTAAATATTATATGCTATGCATTCGAAATATTTAGAAAAGATTGTTTTTTTACTAACAAGGTTAAATAAATAGAGGAAATAGTTCTAACATACAATACGTAATAATCCGGTTTTGATGTCTACAGATCCGGTTGTGATTTCAAAAAATCCAGTTTTGATTTCAGCAGATCCGGTTTTGGAGGAAAAAACCGGTATCAAGCAAGAAATTCTGGCAATTAAACAAGTTCA